CGAATTGAGGCTGTTCTGAGGGCAAAATCCATGTCTCAATTGTCTCAAGGCTTAAAAATCCTTCTTTAACCTGTCTCTTCCACATCATCTACACTGATTGAAGTGGATTTAACAAGTGACATCAATAAGGGATCATAGCTTTTACCATTACAGGCAGAAACGGATTGAGATTATGTCATTACGACACCATTTCAACCAGTTTTGTCTAGTATTGCCCCGCTGGGTCTTGGTTCATGATCCACATTCTCCCCAAACAATACCGGCTTCTCATCGAGTCAGGATAATGCCTGCCTGAGTTGCACAAATGGCATCAACATTTTCAAACAGGCATCTGAAAATAGAGCCAACGTTGGGGGATTTTGGTCCGATCACCAGAAACCTTGTTTGAACTTGGCCTTCTTTCTAGTAATTACAGAGAAGATTAGGCTATTGTTTCCTCTTTGGAGAGAAATCAATGCAAGGCTTTTGTGAACTAATTGTGTAATACTGTGGGGTAATTTCAGAACAATCCTTTCTTCTGTTGTACATGCAACCGGTCTGCTTTCCCTTAGCCTAGCAGCTTCACCCTCTCGACTATCCCAAGAGGGCAGTCTTCCAGAGCTGAGTCACATCACAGCTACAGTACAGATAGCCCTTGCTGGAGCCAAACAGTGACAATGTTAAGAGTGGACACTCAGAAGGAGGACCCTGGAGAGGGCAAGGTGGATGCATTGCTGTAGCCTTTCCGGGAACTTCTTCTGGTCTTTTTTGAGACCGTGAAAGCAGGAAACTCCATTTCACCACATTAGAAAGAAACATCCCACTTCTCCATATTGTAGCAGCTTGTTTTCCTGTTTCTTTCTGCATTCCATCTCTGTCCCACACGATGCTCCACCCATTCTCCTCCTGACTCTCTCCTGTGTTTCTCATAGTGATTAGACTGAACCAGCTATTTTTGTATAACGTTCCTTGTCATTCTGTGTGTCCCAAATGGCACCATATTCCCTATAGGCACTACTTTGGGCCCTGGTCAAAAGTAGTGCACTATATAGGGAATAGGGTCCCATTTGAGACATTATGTGGATCTGCATGGATGGGCAACAAACACTCCGGGCCTCAGACTACAACCGTTTTCCCTCTCTCCCCTTTCCTCTTTAAAATTCTGTCTGACTGTGGTCTGTGGTCTGGCTGCAGACATCGAATGACACCTCGCCCTACAGTTACACAACAGTCAGGTGGACTTCTCTTAGTCGGCACGTTCTGCTTTAATCTGTTGTCACACAGAGGAGAAAGTGAATTTTGACGAAGTGGAAAGGACTCTACTTTGAATGCAGTCCGGATTGGAGTCGCCTATTTCAGGAGCTGTCTGTGGCAACAATTCATGCAGTATTCGCTAATCAGGTTCAACAATAGTCTTGCAAGAGTTTAGTGTGTTAGGGTTACGTAAAGGGAGAAGAAAACGGTTTATTTTGAAAGGGCTTAGCTTAATCAAACCCCAATTGGATCATAAGGATCATCTCATATGGACCCCCCCCCCCCCCCCACACAGAAACAGCTCTTAACATCTTCTCATATACGGCATGTGTTATGCTCAAATCAATTCAAGTGGAAAACTGAAGACTGCGTCTAGCCTAATCTGAGAGGAAAGCGTCTAGACTATTCTGAATTTTTCTTTTTGGGGAAACGACACGAGGAGGAATGTCTCTAGTTAATCTCTAAAATGTCTCTAGTGAATCTCTAAAATGTCTCTAGTGAATCTCTAAAATGTCTCTAGTGAATCTCTAAAATGTCTCTAGTGAATCTCTCAAATGTCTCTAGTGAATCTCTAAAATGTCTCTAGTGAATCTCTAAAATGTCTCTAGTGAATCTCAAAAAATGTCTCTAGTGAATCTCTAAAATGTCTCTAGTGAATCTCTAAAATGTATCTAGTTCATCTCTAAGATGTCTCTATTTTATCACTGTATCTGCCCTCTGACGTTGGGGATGTAGGCTAGAATGAGAGCTGAGCATCAGAAGACTGTGAAGAGAGTTCCTCCATTTCTTCAGTCTCCTTTGGATTCTGCTGTATCATGCCGCTGCACTGGGCTGGGCGTGTGTCCCTGTCTGAGCATGCGCCAGCTCTCTTTCTGCAAGGACCAGAGGCTTTGCAGGCGCGCCTGCTCTATCCCTCCCTCCCTTACTCCTTTCTCACTCTCTCTCACTCTCTGTCTTTCCCTCTCCCAACAACAGTTTCCTTCCGCTTGACCCCCTCCCTCTCTAACAGGCTCCTTCTCTCTCTCCTCGCTGTCAGAATCAATCTCTGTGTCTTCTTGTCTTTCACTCCCATTCCCTCTCCATCTTTTTCTCCCCCCCCCTCGCCCTTTACCACCCCTCATCCTCCGTCAGACGCAGTCCCTCCCTGTCTCGTTCTCGTTGTGTCGTCTGCTTCCGTCCTCTCCCTGTTCTTCCGTTCTCTTCTATCCATGGCTGGGCTAAACCCCACGCTGCATACTTTGTCCTCGCTGTATTCTATCTGCTGCTCTAGCTTTCTCATTCCTTTCTTACAGCAAGGCAGTGGGGTAAGGGCTGGGTCGTCTCTGATGCGTTCGTGTTTAGAGGCTCTCCCTCTTTTTTTTTTGTCTTTCTCTCTCTCTCTCTCTCTCTCTCTCTCTCTCCTTCTCTCTCTCTCCTTCTCTCTCTCTCTCTCCTTCTCTCTGCTTGCTGCAGCGACTGCTGATGAATATTAAAGAGGAAAGAAAGAGAGAGAGAGAGGCTTCCTTTGGGCGCTGGCTGGCTGGCAGCTCTCTCTGAATGCAGCGCTGCTCTAGCTCCACCCACCACCCCCCTCCCTGGCTGTCTGCTGATATATGTGTGTATGTATGTGTGTGCGTCGTGTGTGTGTGTGTTAGAGAGAAGTCCTATTCAGCGAGTAGCTCTCCGGGCTGACAGAGCTCCAAATCAACTCAGCCCCTTCTGCCATTTTATTCCTCCCACTCCCGCCCATTAAAGCTGCAATATGTAACTTTTTGGGTGACCGACCAAATTCACAAAGAAATGTGTGTTATAGATCTGTCATTCTCATCGATAGCAAGTCTAAGACATGTAGATCTGTTCTATGTGCGCTATTTCTATGCTTCCCATTCTGACGTTTTTATTTTTATTTTTTGTGAGGGGTTTTGTACACCAGCTTCAAACAGCTGAAAATGCTATATTTTAGATGGTACAATAAATCTGCTTGTTTTGTCACATAAACTGAAATTAAGCGAACTATTAGAATTTTAGCAACCAGGACATGGCGGAGCGATTTCTGAATATTGCACCTTTAAGTGTTACACAGAGACGATCCACAGAGGAGATGACAGGGAGGGAGAAGACATGGGAT